GGGACAGTGGGAGCTGGGCTGTGGTGGGAGAGCAAGGCTGTAAGGACAGGCAGCTGGTTATGTTACCAGGCCCCCAAAGCCCAGGTTCTTGAGTTTCAGTGTTACAGAAATGAACACTGAACTCGAAAGAATGAAAGCAAGCAGAGTGAGAACTTGTATACCGGGTGGCTGATGGAAAGAGGGAAGCCAAGCTCTTTGAAGGGGCTGCACATAGGGCTTATAAAGGCTGTTTCAGAGGGTGAGGGGTTTGGGAGGAATGACACTGGGAATTATGCCCTGATGTTATCTTGTCGTTTGGGTTCTGGCAGTGCCTCTCCAGGGTCAGCAGATGGTGATTCACTGGTTTTTCCAAAATACAGTCAGGGCCTCCTTTGTGATGTTTCTAGAGGACAAGCCTAACACAGAAGAATTTTGTAAATTCTTCTTCTTCCCTCAGGGTAATGATTTTAGTGAAAACAGGGACTGGTTACTAATTCTTAGGAGCGTTTATTCTGGCTTAAGATATGATCGATTGGTTGTTAGTCATACGGCCATTTAATGGAAATTCTTTGTGTTTAAAGACATTCTAGGAATTTTACCTTTCAACCTTTAATCCTTTACCTTTTAACCTTTAAGGTGGAGGTTCAGTTTAACATGGAGCCCCTCTTGCTCTTCCCTGTCCGGTTGCAGTTAGGGAAGCCTGCTCTGACTGTCCTGGAAGGGCCGGGGTGGGGCCGGGGCCTGCAATGGGTCGGCGCTGTGGAAAGGGGGCTGTATCAAGCACCAGATGATTGTGGAAGGGGGGCCAGGTAGGCGTCAGGAGGGCAGGGGCTGGTCTGGGGGAAGAGGGATGAAAGGGAAAGGTTAAGCCCAGGCAAGCTGAGTTTGGCAATTAACCAGAACGTTCATGCTTAAGTGTCTAAAAAAAAAATGTGTTTGTTCCTCCCAGAATTCATTACAACTGATTCAGTAAAGTTTCCCTAAACGGCAGTGGGGAGGACCCTCTGGAAAGAGGAAGAGAGGGAGAGATGGACCATTGTCCTGAGGATATGAGCTGAAGAGAAATTCCCCACCCCCTGGGTGCAGCCAGCAGGGGCCCCACGTGGGAGGCCCTGGGCTGACGCCACTCCCCTGCCCAATCTCCCTTCGGTCCCATCTTACACCTTTGCATTATGTCTTTTCCTCAGCAGCTCTTTCTTCCCAAGTGGGCCCCCCCCACACTCCAATGCTCTCCCCACAGCAGTTCCAGAGGATAATTGTGGTGGCTATTAATTACCTGGGGGCCCATCTTTAAGGATCACAGGGCTGGGGTAATAGAGGGAAAATGATCATTATTACAAGAGTGTGACAGCAAGGCTGTCAGACTTGCTTTTGAATTGGACAGATACCAGCCATGTCTGGAGACCCCACAGAGGCTGGTCTTTTGTGCGGCTGGAGAAAGTTACAGAACTGGGCAGACCTGTCCTGCCATAAGCTATAAACTCAGTGTCTACATTCAGCTATGCCCTCTCCTAATCATCTCTCACCCCAGGAGGCGCTATCAGGTTTCCTTTGGCTATTCATGATTCCCTCCTCTCCAAGCCCTGCTCTATTGCCACCTACCCTCCCTTCCATATAAATAAGGAGATCCAGGCATTCTGGAAAATGCTCTCCATTTGTCCCCCTCTGCTCAGCCCAGCTCACCCTGCTCTTTTGCATATCCACCTTGCAGCCAGGGGCAGCAGAAAGAGCATGGCGTTTGGAATCAGATAAAACTGAGTTATCTCATTTACTAAATGTGCATTTGGCTTTTGCTTTGCTTTGCTTTGCACCGCCACACCCCTTCTTATGGCAGCTGCCCCGGCTCATTCTCCCCACCACACCAGAAGGGATATGTGTGTGAATCAACTGGCCTAATCACACTGCCCTGTCATGACAACATGAGATTGGAGATGGACCCTTCAGAGCCCTTCCCTGAGATTTTTCCATCTTGGGCTAGTGGGGAAGAGTTCTTTCCTCTCTGCTTTTGGTGGTTGTGAGAATGTAAACCAGAGGCTGCTTGCACTCCTCTTACCTGATGCCTGGAGAAAGCCCGCCTACAGGATAAGAGAAAGAAATCAGCACCCAGAAGGATAAAGAAGGGCATGGGGACATTTAAATTCCTGGGTTCAGCTGTCCCTGACACAAGAGCTACCTTTGCCCATTATGGTTCTGGGTGGTTTCCGTCATTTACAACCGAAAGCACTCTGAGTAATGCATGCGACACTCATTGTCTCCCCTCAATGTGGAGGCTGCGAGACGACAAGAGACCTTCCATGCCAAGTGCTTAGTGAATGCTCAATCCACCAGAGCTATTAATATTGCTGTTGCTCCCTGTCCATCATGTCCCCAGCACAATCCAGCGTAGTCTTCAGCTTCCTGGGTATCTCAGCATTGCCCTGGTCTGCCTGGCTAGATTTCCTAGAACCAGACTCCTTCCCTCCATTCTACCACTGCCCATCTCAGTCCTGGTCCATTTGTCCCACACAGTATCTCTTACATCTTTCCTTCCTTTCCATTCTACCTGCCTCTATCCTGTTCCAGGTCATTCATTCAGTGTTCAACAGCCTTAACTGGGGACCTATTTTTAGGCCAGGTAGTGTGCTGGTACTGTAGATAGGTCAGCCAAGAAGACAGGTATCACCCCCTGACACTTTTTCCTCTGTCCCAGCCCTCCTTGAGTGCCAGACTAACTGTCCTCAAACACCACTTTCATGTTATGCATCTTAATAACATTCCTTAGTTCTGTGCTTCATCAACTCTCTGTTATCAAGTCCCTGCTTGGCCTTCAAAAGTCCTCCATGCTCTGCCTCTAAATAGTACTAATAACACAAACAATATCATTCATAGTATTAGTAGTAGAAGCAGCCACCACTTGTGACATTCTTCTTGCGGTGCAGAAACTGTGTTAATCACTTTATAGGCATGAGTTCATTTAAAGCCTCACAACCGGGGCTGAGATTGTACATACTCTGTGACAGATGCAGCACAGACCAACCATCAGGGAAGACCGTGATCCCACGCTGGGCCAGGCAAACCAGCTCTGTTCACAGCCATCCTGACAGATGGGGGTTATGATCCTCCGTTTACAAAGGTGCAAGATAAGACTCCGAAAGCTATTGCCCAGGACCACTCAGCTGACAAAGAGCAGCACCAGGATTCAAAACCAGGAACCTCTAGGTCCAGAGCCTTCACCTCACCCCAGAGGCCCTTCCTTGCAATTTAAATAGGCCACACCCCTGCTCACCTCATTCATTCCCTTAGGATCTTTGTCTGAGGCTCCCACTTTGAGTCATGCCCTGGGCAAGAGGAGTGGCTCTCCATGCCATCAGGGACTATGTCACTTCTGCTCACTGCTTCCCAGCACCAGGCACATTACCTTGTGTGTCATTGGTGCTCAGCAAATATTTGTTGAATAAATGAATCAATGCAAAGACGGGGAGGGCCTCTCTCTGTACAACATCTAGAGGGAATGTGGAAGAAATGGAAAGAATCAGTGACTGATTCTATGTTGAAGACCCTGGAGCCATGGGGCAGTGTGGGCTGCGATGTTTCTTGCAGTGGTGTTTAGTGTGAAATACTCATCTGAGCTGCCAGGCCAGGCCTAATTTCTACATGATGCTCAAAGATTCTTTAGTCCCGTAGAGCAGTGGACTCCGGAATTGGGAACCCTGAGTTCGAGTCCCAGCTCTGTAATCTCAGGTGTTTAACCTCTCTGAGCCTCAGTTGCTTCTCTTTAAAGTGGCAATACAATAGCTGCCTTGCAGGGTTGTAGGGAGAGAGGACGACATCAGTCACATTGTTCTCACAGATGAGCACTCACTGAGGTTACTTCTGTTCAAAGAGGTGTAAAACCCAGGTGACTTGTGAAACCTGACAACCTTATAAGACAAGGGGTACCATGAACATCAAGAGGTGCCCAGGGAGGGCAACAGAGAAGGGGAGGTGCCAGCCGCCAGACTCACAGATGAGCGGTGGTGGGTATGAGTGGCTTGCACCTAGCCCAGGGCTGCCGGCACAGGGGTGGGGGTGGGTTTAGGGGGGTGGGAGGTGGGTGTCACCAATTGTCAGCATGTGAGCTTCTGCTCCTTTAAATAGCTGCTGCGGCCAAGGGGAAGGGGAAGTCTGGGCAGCAGTGCTGGGCATTTCTGTCGGTCCCACTGTGCCAATTTTCATCTCCCCACAGGGGGCTGGGGATGGGGTGGGGAGGGGCAGGCTTCTCCCTGAATGAGAATGCCCCTTAGCTGAGCAAAAACAAATTTGCCTTTCTGTTCAAGTGAGCTTTGCTATAAAAGCAACAAGACACAGAAAAGGAGTGGAGGGACAGATTCCTGCTGATTCAGATTCCTGTCCACACCTCCCCAGGCTGGCACTCATTGCTGGCAACCCAACCCCCCTTCTTTCTTCCAAGACCCTCTGCAAGGCCCGCGTCCCACTAACAAGTCTCCAGATCTGGAGTCCTTGCTTTCTCCCCCAGGAAGTCAAGTGACAGTAAGAAAGGGTTTTGGGAACCCCACCACCAGGGCCCCATGTGACCTTGAGAAAGTCCTGTCACCACCCTGGGCCTCAGTTTTCTTCACTGAGAAATGGGCATAATACCTAGCTCAATGAGTGGGAGGGTAGGGCTTGCTGGTATGACCTGTGGAAGCCGTAGCCGGGTGCCAGACCGCACGCAGAGAGGGCTCAGGAAATGCTAACCGTCTCCCTCCCAGCACACCAGACTGCTCAAGCTCCGCGTTTATGGTCTCTCCTTCCAGCGTCCTCCCCCATCGAACCCCCTTCCCAGTCCTCCAATAACTGAAAGCCAGTGGATCTGGGCAGACCTTCGTCCCCACAGTCTGGGACTGTAGGCAGGGTAGGGACGAGCGGCAGCGTTGCAGGGCAGGCCCAGCGAAGAGCGACAGACTCCCCTCCCCAATGCGGCGCCTCCCGCCCTTTCAGCTTGTCCTCTGAACCCCCCCAACCAGGCTGTCTTGGAGGGGACCCAAGGCACCCGCGTTTACCAGAGAAGATACTCCCGTCCCAAGTGAGGAGGGCGGCCCCCACCGGGAAGCGACTGTAGGGGCAGTAGGCGGACTTCTTGGCCTCCTGGCAGGAGATCAGCAGCTGCTGGACGTGCTCGGGCTCCAGGGCGCCGCAGGCAGGACGCTCCTGGGCCATGTTGGTCCCGGGGTGGGCGGAGGAGCAGAACTGAGAGCTGGCGGCCAGCCTGGGCTGGGCCCGCCATGCCGGCAGCTCCTCCCCGGGGAGTGTCCCTCCGGGAGGCTCCCAGGTGCACTCCTGCTGGGCTGCTGGGAGGGGCCGGTAGGGAGTGGAGCCCCCTCGGTTTGGGGTGGGCGGATGCGATGAGGGTCCCAGTGGGAGAGGATGCGACTCAGTCCGCAGGTGCTTCCCACTCTCCCTTGGGAACCTCTCCCACTGCTGTCACACAGATGAGTGAGGGGGACAGGGGATGGTGCTGCCGTGTTGTGGTGACTGTGGGCACATACTCCTCAGGGAAGAGGTTGCTGGGTGAGTCAGTGGGAGGTCGAGGAAGTCCAAGCTCCCAGGGCTGAAAACCCTCAGCTTATTGAATGACTTCCTCCTTCCCTGAGGGATGAGTTGAGGCTGAAAGGCAGAGCTGGGGCAGCCACACTGGCTTTCTGAGTCAGGGAGTGTGAGATACAGCAACATGCAGGGCATGTTTCTTTATTTTCATCCTTTTTCCTTCCAACTCCTCCCTGTCTCAACCCAAAGTAAAAAGTACCTCAGCTGGAGGGAACCTTTGAGATCATCTACTCAGGCCTCCTCATTTTTTTTATTGGCAAAATTGGGTTGGTGGTAAAAGAAATGGGTTTGCATCCTGGCTCTACCACTTTCCCCACGTACAACCATTGGCAGTTTCCTTGACCTATCCGAGCCAGTCCTCATATCTACAGTGAGGATAGTAATAATCTTTGTTCTACCTCCTGACTTCACTAGACCCTAGTTTGAATTTCATTTCTGCCATTTATTAGCCATGCAACTGTGGAAAGTTAATGCCACCTCTCTAAGCCTCAGTTCTGTCATCTGTACATGGGGGCACTAGCAGTATCTTGCAGAGGATTGAATGAGCTACTCATTGTATACAGTGAGCACAGTTGGAAGATCCTGTGACGTCATGACATGAGCACCCTTTGTGACTCCATGCAAAATGGGTTATTGCCATTAAGTGACTAGGCCAAGATCACTTAGGAAGGTTAGAACTCCAGAAGAGTGTCCAGAGGCATTCAAATGTCCCCAGACTTCCTGCAAGCAGGAGGGAATCAGCGCCTTCTCCAAGGGCTGGGGAAGGGGCTGGGGTAAGGTTGGAGAAGGGGGAGAAAATGAGGCAGCACCTCCAAGCCCTGCGTGTTGACCTCTCTGGGCTTTGTCGCCCAGCATCTCTGTGTCCTGCAGCTTGCTCCTCTGAGTTCTGGGCCACAGAGAGACACATGCACGCCCAGCTGGGCTGCTGTAGAGTTGGGCAAAGTTGGCCTCATTTCCTCCTCCCCTCCCAAACCTTCCGCCCTTCAGATTCCCCCATGCCCTTTCCACACATCAGCCCTCACAGAAGCAGCTGGTTGCCCGCTGTTGCCATTTCCTCCCGGATCTGCACCCTTGGCATCTAGAGCAGTTTGCTGAATCTGAGGCAGGGCTGGCAGAGAACCCAGCAGGATTGCTTGCCTGCCCCTTCTGTCCTGCACCATCCAGGCACCCTAAAGGTGCCAGGAAAGAAAGCAAAGGGTGTCCTGGGACCACGTGTGCCCGCTCAACATGGGAATAATTCTAAAGCTTTTGGGGCATGTATAATTACAACTGGGAAAAGGGTTCTAGGCCTGTCAGGCCTGTCAGAGACCTCAATAAGCAGCCCTAATCCTGTCCTCTGCCCTGTTTTGACCTACCCCAGCTAAACCCAGCCCTGCCTGGGCCTGGGGCTGAACTCGTTGGCTCCATAGTGCCAGGAGAACCTGGATGATCTGCAGGCAAATTATGGCCTTTGGCACCTTCATAGCTATTTACCTGCACATGGTCATAGGTGGGAACAGCACCCATTGCAAACCCAGCTGTATGGAGCTTGGGAGACAATAGTAGTTCTAGAATTTCCTATAGAAGGAGCTCAGGGTAGCTGTCTGAATGGAAGGGGAGAGTGGGCCTGGGACAGGTGTAGAGCCAATATTAAGAATATTTTCTAAACATGCTCTAACCTCCACTCTACATAAAATTAAGAAAAATTAATTGCCCAGCTCAAAGGATAGGACTATCTAAAGAAAGTGTTTTTGAGGAGTGGTGGAAACTGTCAGGGGCCCAAAGACCTTCCCAACCTTTGCCCTCAGGCCTTTCCTCTCTGAGAAGACCCACCCAGAGCTCACTCACTTATTCATTCAATCCATAGTTACTCATAACAGCTAACTCTTCTTTAGTTCTTTCCATGTGCTAGGCCCTGTGCTAAACGCATGATTTGATTTTTTTAATGTAATCCTCACCATAAGGTAGATACTGGCAATATTATAGCCCATAGTTTACTGATGAGGACACCTGAGCTCATAATGATCACAAGTGGATCTCAAACCGAGTTTGTTTGCCTGCATCTGCATTGTGGGCTCTCGTTCATCCCAGAACACCTGGGAAGCTGGTAGAATGGGCAGCCCTTGGCATCACACCAGTCAGTTTAAATCTTCTTTCTGCTTCTTATTACCAGCCATGCACCTAGGCAAGTTAGTGTCCTTCCTCGCGCATGCAGTGGGACAGCACTACCACTTACCTATGGTGGATCACAGAGTCCACAGTTGTATTCTGCTCAAAAAGGTTTCCCATTTCTTTTATTTTGGTTCCTTTAGGGGAGACCCTCACCCCGGTAAGCTGCCAGTCATTGTGCTTCTAATCCCTGGTAGGTATAAGTAGTTGACGCAGGATGGCCAGCTAGAGACGTCACTTTCCTGCTGACTCAGTGGGGACGCGGGTTTTTCCCAGTGCAGTTACTAAGCGAAGACGATGTGACTATTTCTGATACCTAGTTTTCCCTCTGGGTAGATAGAGCCTGCTTGCCAAGTGAAGCCGGGTAGGAAGAAGCAATGCTGCTGAATGGAGGGATAGAACCCTGATTTCTCTCTGAACATCTGGATCCAGCCATGCCTGAAGGCATACTTCTAGACTTTCTTTTAATTGAGCTAATAAATTAACTTAGTGTTTAAACTTGTTTGAGTTTTGTTTCTGTCAACCTTCTGTTACCTAGACTTAACACACTACTTCCTAGGATTGTTGTAAAAATCAAGCGAATATATGTAAAGCTCTTGGCACAGTGACTGGTACACGGTAAGTGCTCAAAAAGTGTTAGCTCATGTGATAATGAATACTGTGTGCTGGGCCCTGTGTGGGGCACTAGGGAATCAGAGGTGAATGAGACTTGGTAAGCCTTTGAGGATTTCACACTCTAGTGAAGGAAACAGACAAGTCAATAGATGATTATAAAATACCCTAACATGTGATTAGGCACTGGGTCCTGTGGCAATACTGAAAATTGGAGGGAGTGGTGGGTAGGTGGGTTGGAGAAAGTGTCCCAGATGAAAAGAGGCTAAGAGAAGTCTTAAATGACAGGTGGATGTTTATAGTGGACAAAGTAGGCGTTATGGGTTGAATTGTGTTCCCCAAAAAAGATATGTTGAAGTCCAGCCTCCAGTATCTTGGAATGTGACCTTATTTGGAAACAGAGTCTTTGGAGATGGAATTAGTTAAGTGAGGGCCATACTGGCCCCTGATCCAGTGTGACTGGTATCCATATAAGAAGGTGGTCATATAGTCAGGTGGAGAAAGACAAGTACCAAATGATTTCCCTCATCTGTGGAGCATAACAACAAAGCAAAACTGAAGGAGCAAAACAGCAGCAGACTCACAGACTCCAAGAAGGGACTAATGGTTACCAAAGGGGATGGGTTGGGGAGGGTGGGTGGGGAGGGAG